CGACGCACGACGGCAGATATGGAATTCCATACTAAAGGGCTCAGCTCCTTAAAAAAAGCACTGCGGCAATATCGGAGAAAATGTAGGGGGGGTCGAATTCGACCCCCGGATCTTAAAGGGTTAATACCGGCAAAGGAGAATGGACGCAACTTTGCCCGAGCCACGTACCTTTGGGGTCCAAACAAGTTTAAATTTGAACGATTTTTTCAACAATTCTACACTTTAAAAACTCCCGGGTCGGATTGACCCAGATTTGGGTCCCATTCGGCGTGAACCCTTTCTGGGTCAAAATATGACCTCTTTTTCGGGTCATATTGGACCTTTTCCGGGTCATAATTTCACCCAGAAAAGGGTCGTGCCAAAATGGGACCCAATTCTGGCTCAATATGACCCCGGGAGTTTTTAGAATGTACCCTTTGTTAGTAAAACATCTCCTCTCATGTGCATTGAAAAATCTCCTTATGAAGAATTGCGCACGTGTAGAGCTTCCTGCTTGCATGGGGTGGCGCACAGCTAGCCAGAGTTTAAAGCCGACCACGTGACGGAATGTTGACCAATAGGAATGGCTAAACTATCTGAAGTATTTTTGAATCTAATGTAATGTTTTGTCAACTCAGTCTGTACTTTGAACAAATCTACTCCAGTGTCACACTTTAATTTTAAGTTTTGACCCAAATTTTACAGGACGACTCGTGATCTGTAGATTGTAGTTGACGTATACTGCTATTATTTTGTTACATTTACAGAAACAAATTTCAGGGAGACAATTATCCCTGTTCATACACTTTTTCAGAAGAACTGAGAAGAAACAGACGTGTTCTTTACACTAGTCTAAGTTGGGTCCCCTCTTGATTTGTCGCCTGACATTTTTTTCAAGAATCCTGAAGAAAATGCTGATTATTCAACTCGGAACATTATATCGGTTACAATACGTTGGGATGCGTGTATACATAATCATGTTTGTCGATTAGGTCAACATCAACAAAGTTTCCGCAAGCAACAATATCCACGTGTGAAATGATCGAACGATAATACAAACTAAAATCCATTTGAACTTGTCACTTGCCGATGGAAAACACTGCATAAAATTTGTAAATCTGCAATGCTGTAATAAAAATCATGTCCTACTAAAGGAAAAATGAGTTCCCCTGATGTTCCAATGGAAGATAACCAAATGACCAAGGCTGTCTACTTGTTCTCTGAGCGCTAGCGGCAGGAGTGAGCGACTGCTGTCTGAGACTGGGGAGGCCTCCACTCGTGTGACTTCACTCTCTCCCATTAACTCGTTCACTCCATTGGTTATGTAGGGCTGTTTGATTACCGTGGGTACACCCAATGTACCAGCCAAGCTGAGCTGGCTGTTCGGTTGGTAGGCTGAACGACCAGTCATACAAACGAAGCTCCTACAAACTGCTTGTCGCAGAGAACTTTAAATTCAAAAGTGAACATCTACTTTTCTCCTATCAAAACCCCAACAAAAACACCGACGACGGGAAAAAAACAACGACAAGAAGAAAAAGCAGATCGGCGGTTATGTAAAACGCAGTGTGGTAGTTTGATGCCAGGAGACAGGCAGATTAACTTTTGCCAAGATAGAGTTTTGTACTTTCTGGCTTTTTTGCCGGTATAAAGGCAGAATTCACTTGCTATTATACAATCGATGAACAAATTCTCTCCCTCATTCTTACTACTATTATATTATATAAAAGTTGATTGAATAGTTTGAACAAATTCATTTTTTCTACTTCGAGCTAGAGAAAGAGCGTTTTCGTCACGAAAACTGCAACGGAAGCTGGAAATGTGCTTTTTCTGCGATGTCAAAATCTGAGCACATCATTGACGTTATCAAAAGTTGTCTGCTGCCAAAGTGTCCTCCAAAAGTTGACGGTTACACGTGTATTCAACCTCTCTTCAGTTTATGCCGACTTTGAGGATCCGTCTTGTCGAAATTTCTTGTGGTTCGGCGGTAGTGTGACTATAGTGCCCAGCAAAACATGTACAAACAAAGTTTCTGTCAGATGAATTAGTTTTGTTATGTTTTTGGAAAGGTCGGTTGGATTCAGTTGAACTGGAGAAGGCTGAAATTATTCCTAAAAAATTGTGTTTCCCTAAGTCCTGGTAAAGTCATACAATTAAATGTATGTTTTCGGCGATGCTATTTTTTTAATTAAATTTCAGACAGGAAGACGAAAGCTTAGGTCTTTGGACAGGGCAATTTCTTTATTAAGCAAAAAAGATAACCATCCCAAAATTAATAAATTTCATCTATTCTCTTCATGCTAAAGAGTGTAAAACTCACTCTCTAGAAGAGTGCGTCCCTTAAATAAAACCACTCCAAAAAGTGAAAATCACTCTAAATTGTAAAAACATTCTACAAGGGTACAACCACACTTAAAAGAGTGACAATTATTCTTGAGGGGAGCAACTTCTCGAAAAGGGTAAAATCCACCCTAAAAAGAGAAAAAAAATTCTACAAAGAGTGAAATCCATTGCAGAAGAATGAACTCTCCGCTCCACTAAGAAACTCATTCTACAAGAGAGGCATTTTAAAGGACAACCCGAAAAGGAGTTGTAATTTATATAGCTCCTCTTTTAGAGTGATTTTCACTCTTTCAGGGTGTTTTTGAACTCTTAACCATAAAAGAGCCCAGGGAGGAATGCAAAAGTGTTTCGATATCGCCGCCGCACATTTTTCTTCAGCAGCTGAGCCCTAAGGAGTATTTAGATCAACTCTTTACAGTCATTTTGACACTAGTTTTGTGAAAATCGAGCACACTATTCTTGCGCAGGGCGCTTTTTTTTCGAGACAGATCGGCTAAAAATGTATAATTCAACTTCATTACTCAGTGCACGAGGGCTCGCACGCATGTAGCCTTTAACTTCAAATGACAACAAAACGATATAGTTTGATTGGGTGTAAACTTCACACTTGTAATGATAAACAAATGTTTTTACATGCTTGCCAAGTATCAAATAAATCGAGAATAGTACAGCTGAGTTCTTGGGAGGTGGGACCCACCCCCTGGTGTGACATGGACCAAAATAACCCAGCGCTTTGAGGGTTCAGAGTAGGTTTTCACTCTTTTGAGAGTGAAGTTTCTCTTAAAGAGAGTAGCAAGTTCGCCTAAGATAAAGTCCATCAATGTCTCAATTTTTTTCTATTTATATTCACATTCCGCAAACTGAGCTAAAACGGACGTCCACAAATTAATTGAAAAAATCCTAACCTGATTCTCCTCCCCCCTATTGAATGAAACACCCCCGCAAATCCCATCAACGCGCTAATGACGGCATTTCAAAGTCTTCATTCCATGGTCGAGCGAGAAAGGTTGAAAAAGTAGACGACCACTTTCAGCACTGGGACGAAAATGCTCTCGGTCTGACAAAGGGGCAGACTACGGTACTTTGCCGAAAGTCTGCGTCTCTCGTAGCAGAAAGCAGATTACTACTTTTAGACTACAGTATTGCAGTCTAAAGGACAGATTAAAACCATATTTGCATAGACAGGCGTTTGGTTAATATTCCTCAACTTATCATTATTGGATATCTTTGCTTGTTAGCGCCCTGAGCACCGCTCGCGGCGGACACTGGCGCTCTATAAATATTCATTATTATTATTACTCGGATTGAAGACAAATAACAAAAATGTTCAAAATGTGAAACCAGCTTTTTTGGGTGTGGTAGCAAAGGGGAAGATTGTTGTTTTATCCTCCACTGCGAGGGGGAAAAGTAAAATCTGCTTTTCTGTTGTCAGAGAAGCCAAAAAGCATGCAGAAAAGATATCAATTTCACACTAACGTTCATTCCCCCTTTTCAGCAAGTTTGAAAGTACAAATAAACAGATGCTCACTTTTCAACCTTTGTCCGACCTTTGCGCCTTCTCCTGATGACATAACACCAAATTTTTACGAAACTGAACATAAGTGAGTGTCAAAAGGTGAATACTAAGTATGTTTGGGGTAGGCTAAACAAGAGGAAATTGAATACTCCTTGCCGACAGCGTGCTCACGGTTTTAATTACAGAGAAAACTTTCAAATGTATGAATGTGACAAAATTTATTCATCCGAGAAATGTTTAAAATAGCTAGGAAAACCAACAGAAAAAGGAAAATCCCCTACAATTAGAGGAGAAAACAATTGTATTCCAAATTATTTAAGTGTACGATACGAATCCGCTTACACAGGATGAAAACACTACAAACCCTAATAACGATTGCGATGAACTCTTTCAGAATGCAAGGTAATGACTGAGTTTATAGGACTGCGATTACTGCCAATAAACCATAATCAAAAACGGAAATATCTGCGGACAAAATTATCTGCTAATGATTCTATTGGACTTTGAAAGTATTTAGATTTTGTTTACACATCAACGAGCAAATAATTTTTAGCGTGCACTAAAACAAACTCTGAATCAATTCTTTTAATAAAAGACTAACAATCAATTATAACCGAACGGTTAACTAATTGATGTTTACGGCAGCACAAAAAACTTCAGGTTAAAGATCAGGAAAACTATCAAAATGGCTGCGTCTGAAAAATCCCTACTTTTTTTTCTTTAAGTGTTATTTCCAGAAGTAAAAGTTTCTCAGGAAGAGGGAAAAATTGTTTAAAAGTTACCGCTCATTCCATGAACTGGTCGAATGAACACAGCACACAGCACCACAAGGGCAAAAGTTATAGCCCGTTGCGTTTTCCGGCGTCTAATGGGCATCTTGCCTGACCAGCAAGTGGCAGTCCTTCAGTTTCAAAATCTTACTTTATCCGTCTACGCTTGAAATGTCCCAGTCAGAAATGTTCAACCTTCTGAGCATGGAATAACGTTTTCTGAGTGCTGCGCACTTTGCCGAATTAACGTCCTTATATACGCAGGGCCCCGTTCCTTGCTGGCCGGTCCGATCGTGTGATTGGTTACTTCCCGACCGCGTGATTTATGCCCGCTGAATAACCGCGTAAGCCAATAATCGTGATGTTCTAGTAACATTGTATGTTTTGCCCCCCCCCCATTTCTCTAGCGCCATGCCTAAGCGCACGTTATACAAGCATACATAAATGAATACAAAACCGGGGTTTTGATTTGTGCCCCGTTCACGGAGTACAAATCACGTTGAAAACTGAAATCCTGCAGACTGTCTTTAGAAATCTTAAGACAGTATCAATGTTCCGTAGTGGCGCTATCTTTTAGAGTTTTTATCGAACGTCTAAAATTTCAAAGCTTTTTCCCCATAGTGCACAAAACTAGAGTCGTGGTAAACTCCAATTAAGTTGAGACTTTGCACACTTAATCTTCTCGAAGAATATGTTTTAATTCCTTTCATTTGTAATATAACAATTAATGCTTATAATTCAAAGGAAAGAATAATTTCAAGTGAAACATGGAATGGAACATTTGGTCTGTCACCCGAAGAGGAAAGAAAACGACGCCTGAATAAATGCAGACAATGCCTGATTACAAGTATTTACTTACTGTTGTGAACATAAAGGTAATATTTTTGTGAGTTGGTTTTTTGCTTTGAACTGACGCCAGCTGGTGTTTACCAACAATCAGTAGGCAAAAGCTTTGACCGTGACGTAGAAGGAAAAGGTTTAGCGCTAGTTCAGTGTGGGACAACATACGCAACAAAGAATCAAACACAAACCCACCCACCCCCCCCATTTAAATTTTTTTTTACAATTCCAAAAGGAGTCAAACACACAGAACTGAAGGAGCGACATGTTTTTCCAAACCATGGAACTCAATAGAACAGTTAAAAGTTCAATTCAGTTCAACTGAAATCAAGCAACGCCCAGTATACATTATTCCTGTTCTTGCATCACTGCACACACTTCAGTATAGGCACACACCTGAAACCTCACTGAGGTGACCTCGTATACAAAAGGTGTATGGAGGCCCTGGAAAACTTATGCGAAGTCAGCAAAATAGCCATGGAACATTTTGCCAAATTTCGGAAAGTTAGCTAATACAATCAGTGGCAGTTTGAGGTTTGAGCACGTTTACAATTTACTATTCATTTGAACCATGACACAATCACGTTGAGGCTCTGCCAGGGATTCAATTATACGTACCACTTTTTGCCTTTTTTCAATAGTGTAGATAGACTGAACAAAACTGAACCTACAGGTAGAGTTTAATGACAACTTATACTATTAATGTTTTAGCCTGTACTTGGAACAAACTGTGCATATTATGCTTTCAGAATTATGTCCTGAAGTCACTGCTTCATAATTCACAAATTAATTTACGCAGCATCTAAGTTAAGATTATTATGTGAGTAAAATAGTTGGATTTTCTACCCATATTATAAATATATCATTAATGCTTGATAACAAAAAGTTGCAGCACCATAAATAGAAGTACACGATGAGAAAGATGCAACTATGGATTGCTTTTGTATTTACTGAGAGGAAAACAACAATGTTTTTGCACTGTTACTAATTGTATTCAAACAATTGCTTGAAAACAAATCTGAAGTAAACATCAAGTTCAATATTTAGAAAAGTTTCATGGCAAAAGGTTTGAAAAGTTTCATGGCAAATTATTTTTCACCCTAAAGAGGACCTTGTACCAACTTTTTGGATTTTTAAAAACAACTCTTTGTTCCTGATAACTTTTTAAGTTTAAAAGCTTTCAAATTACCTTCCAACCACCTACACACTTGATAATATGCAGACATATCTGAGTAAAGCCCTACAATATAGAACAAATAAGGTACACGCATTATGTATGAAAGCAATATACCCATGACTGACTTTAGCAAGTAGGCTACAAAATGCCCTCTATAGTTCTAAAAGTGTGGTGAGGACACAAGATATAATTCTACGGAGGACAGTACCCGGTAACCTTTTATGCTACAAACCTCAAGCCACAAACTTCCGACAATGCTCTATTCTGATCTCTGACATCTAAAGGTAGTGAGAGAAACTGGGATTGTACACAACAGGACCTGCAGCACTGGCTTTTGTCTGTAAAACAGCACAGAGAAAATTTTCGAACAAACCTTAAACAATCAATTAATTCAGAACGAAAGAAACAATTCTTTCAGTGAATTAGCTCTCTTCCTAGTACTGTGTTTTCTGCAGTGATTGCACATGTGTTTTAACAAGGGAATAAAAATATGTGCTTGGCTGCGTTTAAGACCACTTAGGACAATGAATGCAACAAATGCCCCAGCTGTAGGCCAGGGCATTATCAGCATTCAGTTTCCTGAGCCGGTATTCCCAGCAAACCACATATTTATTCCCATTCACAAATACCTCTTTAGTCACAGTCAAAAGCAGTCAACATAAGATGGATTTCCAGTGATTTGGTTCTAGAATTTTACTTTCAGTTTCCTGAACACCCTTCCTTTTTATGGAATATTCCTTGCACAAATTGTCCAATTGGCATGTGCATGGCGAGCCGCCTACACACAGACTTTTAACTAATCAGAATCGAAACTGTCTTGTACCCAGGTGCCAGTACGTGATTTATGCAGCGGGCATTATCACTTCTCAGCGGGCATCATCAAATATTAATACACGGTCAAGTTGCACGTTGTTGAAGACTGTTTGAGGTATTTATGCAAAAATTAAAAACAATAAATGAATCACAGACTTTTGTGTCTTCCAAAGCATTTAGTAGATCATAGTGAAAAAACTTCAAGTAACACGGTAGCCTTAATGGCAACAAAGCATGTGTAGAATGCAAGATCAGATTGTTACCATCATAGTGATGCAACAGTACAAGTCTGACTGCAAATTAACAATGTCTAAATTAAATGATTTGAATTACATGTAATGACAACTTTAGGGCAGTCGTTTTGCAGGAAGTTGAAACTAGAAATTTCAAACTCATCAACTGTTGATATTCAAACTCACCAATGGATTGTTAATGTATGATCCTTCCATTCCTGAAGCAACATATGGCCGAATAAATTCTCGACGACTGGACAATCCCTATCAATCAGAATAAAATGAATTAACAACTCAACAGGTGGATGGGTAACAGCAGCCTATGAAATGAAATTCATGTATTTACATCACTGTGTCAAATGCCATGCTGGTTTTGACAATCACATATTGCTTGGGTGCACATAGCTTTGTTACTAAAAAATCATTCATTGAACCACAAGTGATATTATCTTTGGTAGTTAACTGTTTATTCTTTGTTAATCTTACTAAGGCTGTGAAGGAGTTATTTATCCATTGTGCAGATTTTTATATTTTTTTTCCTCCAAAAGAGTGATCCAAGGTTTCATTTAGTAGCCTACCTGCTTCATGTATGGAGGCCAACTTATTTGATGCCTCAAATGATCTTTTCTCATTTCATTGGACATGCGGTATGTATCATCTGGATGTGTGTTGCGATGATCATGAATAGGAACAAATGTTGTCACTGGTTTGCTTGGGTAGTCTCTCTGAATCAAACCTCTTGCATACTGACGTGGTTGAAGGAACAAGAAACACAGGAACAGACCCACAATGGAAAAAAGGAGGAGAACACATCCAACAACGATGAGGACTAAGGCTAGAGTAGATATTCCACCTGAAATATGGAGAGAATTATGTCTTATTAATTCATTGTTTGCTAGAGAAACTTAGTCACAAGTTAAACTGAGATAAGGAGCATGTCTCTAAAGCCAGTGTGCTTTTTGTTCATTCTGAAAGAGTCAATGAGGAAATTTGTGTAAGCAACCATCGTTCATTCTTTTATTTTTTTCTTCGCCCAGTTTTACCATAATTTGTCAGTGATTTTTGTACAGGACAGTACAGCAGAAAGAAAATAAGGGACATGTTGTGCATGCAAAAATGATGAACGCAGTTCCAAATCCTACACCCAAACAGGGCATAACAGGGGAGACACAATTGTTACAGATGTCACCCATGACAGAATGGGACAGCTTACTGGAAAAGTTCTTTGGCAATGTCCAGACAAAGATGTTACTCCCTGCCAATTGTCTAATTTAGTTGAATTTGTTCAACTTAACCTAGTTGGTGAAGATGAATTCAGCAAAATGACATGCATTGCTCTGCAGTAAATATGCATTTCATTTTGTTCTCTTGCATTCCTAAAATCTATGACTGTGGTACAACCAAACAAATTGTACAATGTATCACCTTGAGGAGTTTCTGTAGTGATTGGTGTCACTGTTGATGGCTCTGTAGGAATTGTAATCACTGTGTCACATCGCTCCCCAGTAAATGAAGTCTGACAACTGAACGGAAAATTCGGGAGACAGTGTAATTAGATACAAACTACCAATGAAGCAAAAAAGGATGGTTAAAGCAGCTATCATTAGCACGCTACCGAAAACAAATGACACAATAGAGTTTTTCTTTCACTTGGATTAACTACCTGCAGGTGTAGGTAAGCTCAGGGAAGTAGTACCCTGACTTCACACACACTCCTCCATAACTGCAATAGTCCGTTGCACAAGCTGTTGTTGCATCTAATAGAAAGAATATGCAGAAAAGTCAGTTTTATGGTGTTGTGTTCCATTCAATAAAATAAGAACCCATTTTTAACCTTGTGGCTTTACACTATTTAGGTTGTTAAAAAACTAATGGTTGTAACAGTTAGCATTCACCCATGTAATGTGTTACATGTAGAAAGCCAACATGGGGTTTGGGGGTTTGCACCCAATAAATCCCTCTTTAAAGCATTTATTCACAAACCAAGCCAGAGACTAATAGGTCTAGTAACAACTTCAGAATCTCACCTTGTACAGTTACTGTAGGATCAATGGGTATAGTTAAAGTGCCATCTGAAAGATTAGTGGTTGACAAAACTCTTATCACATCAGCCCTTGGTGGAACTTGATTCTCTGGGAATTCCAACACCATGGTAACCACAATACTTCCTGACTGGATGTTAATGACATCTACTGATACAATGCTGCTTGTGGCTGAATCATTTCCTAGTTGATTCAAAACCTAGATCAATGGAAGATTCAAATCAGTAGACCGATCACATGACAGACACCACAACGGATTATACAAAGTTACCAGGGAGGGAGGAAACAATCTGTTCAACGTTTATTATTCCAACTCACATTTCCTAATCTTAAACTTATATTCTTTCTAGCTTAATAAAAGAAGCCACAATTTACCCTTACTAACTTACCAGCAGTCTGAGTATGGCCGCCTTGTTTTGAAATGCTGTTGAGGTTGGATTGTTGAAGACATCTCTGAACAACTCTAAGGGGGCTCTTATGATGACAATTATTGATGGACGTGCTGAAAAAGTGGACAGACTGTTCTTATGAATAACTTAAGTAAACTGAACCTACAATGAGTGTTACGTTGTATTATTGTATAGGTGACTGCTGCATGATCACTTTGAGAAATTTTATGAGCATTTGTGTTAATTTTGTGTAAATTTGTGTTAAATACCTCACCAGACTATACAACACTTCAACAGTATATAACACATGACTGTTGTTTACCTTGAGACTTTACAAATAAACAGGGGGTAGGCAACTTATAAATATGATGTGTCTGGAGTTGAGCTTGGTCAATCGAAATGCAACAAAGTCCCAAGGAAGCAACATTATGCATAAAAAAGGGGCTTTATAACCTGCTGCCTTTGATATGTTTCATTGACATTTATCAGGTCCTGTGACACGAAGACACAGAAATATATCAACTTACAAGTGCATGCATTTGATCTCCTAAAATAGCCATCAAAAGTGCGACATAGACACACGTATCCTGTAGCATTTAAGGAAGGAAGGCAGTATTGTCCTGTTGTTGCATCTGAACACAGCGTCCCAGGACTATTCAAACATGGATTTGCCACTGAAAATTAAATGTATTAAATGTTTATAAAGCAAATGGAGAAACTCAGTGGTGCATTGTGCCATCTTAATGCCTGTAATTCTCATGCTCCACTTCACTTGACATTCTAGTACAATACTACTACGTTTCATTAAACAATGAATGCCTGAAAATGATTTTTGTTGGTTGTGTGTCTCTGTTCGTCCTTTTATTATGTGAAGAGAAAAGGGCATAGCCATGTCTGATAAGTCCCATTGACAATATACAGCAGCACAGTTACCAAAAAGGTGCTGGTGTCAAGCTCTGAATTTTCATTAGATAGGGTAATACTTTAAGAGGTTCTTGATTCCCAAATGAAAGTAAATAGTTGTTACTAACACCCTAAAAATAAAGGCAGTAGGATGGGTGCCTGTGAACCTAGCATTAAATTTTAAGTAACCTTGAGCGACAATCTTCAAATCTTTACCTGCACAGGTTTCTCCTGAGTGAGTAAGAGGACACACGCATTCACAATACTGTCCATCAAAAGTACCTCCATTAGCACAACTAGATGTATCCAGTCCACATGCTTGGTGAAAAGTGTAAAAAAAACATTACCACCATGATTTACATGCCTGTTGATAACACAGGCTACATGGATCATGTGCAGATGGGGGGGGGAGATAATGGCTAACCCCCAACCCCTGCTCTAACACCCCCAAAAAATGGAATAATGCAATAACAATGTTAGTAATATTTAAAAAAGATGACCGCCTACCATTTGTATAGTGTGTTAACACCAATGTATCATCTATGTATCCAACTGTCCACAACAACTGGACATAAAAAAGTCTAACTGGTCTATCCTCCCCGGAAAAATTCCTGAATCTGCCTTGCTGAATGGCTGAAAATAGTACAATATGAAGGTTATACACAAAGAGACCAACCTGCAACAGTAACAGTAAACTGACAGGATCCTTCGTTTGAAGCACTGTCCCTGACTCTACATGTCACTGTAGTAACTCCTATTACATATGTGCCTCCTGATATCACAACATTGCCTGAATCATCTTGGCATATAATACTAGCAGCATTGATGGTGTTAACATTGTCAGTAGCTGAAGGCACAGACGGCCATGACACAGTGGCACTGGTATTTCCAAAGCTAGCCATCACGGAAAGAGGATTGTTGGGGCAGGTAACACTTGGATTATCATCATCTGTTTGTGGCAAAATGACGCATTTTCATTATCATAACACATATTTCATTACACACCCAGGATCTACATATGCATTAATTTCAAACTTAATGCACCAAAAATTGTTGCTCAAGAACTGTTAGAAATAGATTTCTACTTACATCAGATAATTATCAACAAGAACATGTAATCAATGAACTTCTTGTATTAACAAATAGCAGTCTGAAAGAGGAGCAACTTAATTTGGTCAATGTGTGATCTAACAAAATATTCATATTTAATATCATAAAAGTTATACACTCATTCTTTGTCATTTGCTAAGATTTTTAATTATTCAATCTTGGTAAATTCTTTCCTTCTTTATGCTTACTACTTGAAGATTCATTCTCAAAACTGCACAACAACTAAAGTACTAAATGCCATTCACTGTTTACAATTGATAATACAAAATCTGTTAAAAGTTGACTTTACAGTTAAACTTTGTTTAATATCTACACCTAACATTGTAAAAAAAAAAACGTGTTTCAATGGAACAAGAAGCAAGCAAACACCAACCAACAACTGTGATGGTAAAAAGGCAGGATCCTTCATTCAGGGCAGTGTCACTAACTCTACATGTCACAGTGGTTGTGCCTACATCATATGTGCTTCCTGATGTCAGGACATTGTTTGAGCCATCTTGACATATAATGCTTGCAGCATCAATGGTATCAACATTGTCAATGGCTGTTGGAGCTAGTGACCAGTTAACGACTGCAGTTCTCACTCCAGTATCAGTGCCCATGCCAGTGATGTTGCTAGGACAGGTAATAATGGGAAGTTCGGTATCTGTGTATAAAGGAGAATCCAACAACTTCCTGAAAAGGCTTGCTCTAATAACCAACATCTTTCTACTGGTGCAGATGACTGTCCGACAGATCCAACACTGGACACTTCTGTGCTTGTGAAACACAGTGGACATTATCTACTCGTATTTTGCTGAAATGTACAACTCAGGAATATAACACAATTCAGCTGTTACCAAGCAAAGACAAATTGGCTTGAGTGGTACATGTACCTTGCTCTTCATAATGAAAGGAGAGGGCTCAACAAGTCTGGGAGTGAGATCTATCACGTTACTCCTAACTGAGCTGAACACAATAATATCCAACGGTGGGCACTTTCCATGGAATTTGGTTGAAGTGAGTAGTGAACGAAAGGCCTTTGTTCTACCTGTTGGATTTCGTTGGGTTCAATGGGCCTCACACTTTTCTAATGTATTCTGTCAGATTCAGTAAGGAAGCAAGAGAAAACCTACAGGGAATTAGAGACAATGGGCTATGGTTTCTGTTTTCATTTATTCTGGATTCACCGACAGCTAAGGGGATACTTTTGAAAGAAATCCATATGCATGAACATACATTCTAATACATTCAAGACAAAAGAAACTCTTTGGACAATAAAATGATGTTGCCAATACATGAAAAGTGATGCTTACATGTAGTCACAGTTGGATTATGAAAATATTCCTAAATTCTACTCAGGTCAAAATACATGTACTTACCAACAATACTGATGATAAACTGGCAGGATCCTTCATTCAGAGCGGTGTCATTAACTTGACACATCACTGTGGTTGTGCCTAAGTCATACGTGCCTCCTGACATCACAACATTGCCCGAGTCATCTTCACATGTAATGTTGGCAGCATCAATGGTATCAACATTGTCAATGGCTGTTGGAGTTAGCAACCAATTAACGACAGCAGTCCTCACTCCAGTATTAGTGCCCATCCCAGTGATGTTGCTAGGACAGGTTACGTTGGGAGCTTCTGTATCTAGAAAAAAGCAAAAGAATTTGGATTGTGAAGTTTACCTATACTTTAATAGTACTGTGTTATTTTGCACTGAACTCCTTCAAAAGATCTCCATTGAACCATAGTGTCATTCTGTTATCTAAAACCCTATTAAAGTTAACAGGTCAAGTCCCTGTTCCCAAGCAATGACAGCAAAATGATGACTTTATGACAAAAAGTCTTCTGACCAGATTTGGCACTAGGCCTGTATTTATGTCAGAATTAACTCCTAATTTAGCACATAATGCTTATGTCAAAATGGTTTCAACATAGGAGTCCAGGGGGTGAATCAAGGACTATCATGACAGCCCTTCCTCCACTCAAAAAAGCCTTCAGTTCAAAGAATCAAGTTGTGGCTGAAGGCTACTTTGCAAAATTTGCTGGGCTTCTATAATTACCTTCAATACCAATGGTAAACTGGCAGGATCCTTCATTCAGAGTGGTGTCATTGACTTTACACGTCACTGTGGTTGTGCCTAAGTCATACGTGCCTCCTGACATCACAACATTGCCAGAGTCATCTTCACATGTAATGTTGGCAGCATCAATGCTATCAACATTGTCAATGGCTGTCGGCGTTAGTAACCAATTAACGACAGCAGTCCTAACTCCTGTGTCAGTGCCCATCCCAGTGATGTTGCTGGGACAGGTAACAGTTGGAGCTTCCATATCTAAAGAAAAGCAAAGGAATTTGTATTGTAAACTTTACCCATAACTGTGCTATTTTGAATAAAGCTCCGTCAAAATTCATGGTCTTCCTGTTGTCTGAAAACAAGCACTAAAGTCAAGGCTTTGTCCAATTCCTCAAAGCAGTAACAGTAAAATGAAAACTCTATAAAACAAGTCTCCTAGCCAGACTTGGCTTGAAGGCTTGGTTTCATTTCAATAAACTACACTAATGTCAAAATGATTTCAGCTTAATAGGAGTCTAGGTGTTAATCAAGGACTATCAACCACTTGCTGCCGGGTGCTTGGTAATGG